AAATGAAAGCTGTCATGCGAAGGCGGTTTATTCCAAGTCACTACCATAGGGACATGTTTCAGAAATTAAAAAGTCTCACACAAGGTTCTAAAAGTGTTGAAGAATATATTTCAAGGAGTGGAGACAGCCATGATTCGAGCCAATGTAGATGAAGATCGTGAAGCTACTATGGCTAGATTTTTGCTTGCTTAAATCGACACATTGCAAATGTGGTAGGATTACAACATTATACGAAGTTAGATAACATGGTGAACATGGCCATAAAGGTGGAGAGGCAACTAAAAAGGAAGGGTACCATGCGTATGGGACATAATTCGACTTCATCTTCAAGACCAACATGGAATAAAAATGAAGAGAAGCCTCATTTCAAATCTCCAGTTGGTTCCTCCAAAACCAACAAGTTGAAAACACTTCCAACCAAGGTAAAACTGAATCTCAATCCTCTAAAAATAGAGATGTAAAATGCTTTAAGTGTTTGGGTAGGGGTCATAGTGCTTCTCAATGTCCAAACAAGAAAGTCATTTTTTGAAAGATAATGGTAATATTGAAAGTGAAGGGGAATATGATAATGAATCCATGCCATCCTTACAAGATGCAAGTGATATTGAATTCCCAGTTGAAGGAGAGCTTTCAATGGCTAGAAGAACTCTTAATGTATAGATCAAGGAAGAAGATAAGGAGTTGCAATGAGAAAATATTTTTAATACTAGATGCAATGTAAAGGACAAGGTGTGTTCCATGATTATTAATGGAGGAAGTTGTACAAATGTTGCTAGTACTAGTTTGGTGGAGAGGTTAAATTTAGTAACTCTGAAGCATCGTAGACCATATAAACTACAATGGTTGAATGATTATGGAGAAATCAAGGTGAACAAACAAGTGGTAGTTCCATTTTCAATTGAAAAATATAAGGATGAGGTGTTATGTGATGTTGTGCCCATGCAAGCTGGGCATATTCTCTTAGTTTGATAGATGTGTAATGCATGATAGGTACACCAACAGATATTCCTTGGTTATAAATAACAAAATCATTACTCTTGCTCCTTTAAGTCCAATGCAAGTGTATGAGGATCAAGTAAGGTTAAAAAAAAAGAGTGACCAGAAAAAAAGAAAGATAAAATATGAGAGAAAACAAGAGTGAAAAGCAAGTTTCAGGTAGTGAGAAAAGAAAAGAGAGAAAAAAAGAGAACTTCTTTGTGAAAGTTGGTGAGATTAACAAAACATTGGTCTTTAAACAACCTATGATTGTACTCTTGTATAAGAGGCTTACTTAGCACTAATGAAGTTGATTCCTCTTTGCCTAGCGTAGTTTTTTATGTTTTGTAGGATTTTGAAGATGTGTTTCCTGAAGAAATACCCGATGGTTTATCACCAATAAGGGGTATAGAACACCAAATGATATTATACCAGGGGAAACAATTCCAAATAGACCAACATATAGAACCAACCTTGAAGAGACAAAGCAACTCCAAAAGCAAGTTAATGAGCTTATGCAAAAAGGACATGTGTAACAGCCCGTTGTACACTGGTATTGTTAACATTAATTATGATATTAAGCACAGTTACAATCACAACAATTCATTTATAAAAAACGTGAGTCAACTTTTTCCGTTTATTACGCGAGTATTTAAAACCGTAAAAAGTGTAATAAATAAAGGGATAGGATATTGTGACACCCAAGTTATGTTACACCCATGTGACACCCAGTCAATCTCACCGTTAGATCGTTTATGATGATCCAACGGTTATATTTATTTCCATCTTTGTATGGTCATGATTTCCCAAATTTAAAGTGAAAGCATTAAATATGGGAAATCATAACCATACAAATGTAGAAATAAATATAAAATATTAAATTTGGGAAATCATGACCATACAAAGATAAAAATAAATATAACCGTTGGATCAACATAAGCGATCTAACAGTGAGATTGACTGGGTGTCACATTGGTGTAATATAACTTGGGTGTCACAATACCCTATCCCATAAATAAAAGTTGTGACCATAACCGTAAACTCTTGCGGAATACTTGTTTAAACTAATTTTATATCTTATTTTACTTAATACAAGACACTAAGGGGTTCCCATAAACCCACTTAGCCAATTTCTCAATCTTACGTTTTCTACTTATCCGAGCGTGGTTCGGTAATTATTTTTCTGTGGACACACCGCACAAAACCAGTCCTTTATCTTCAGTTATATTTTTTTTCTTACTTAAATACCTTTCCAATGAGCCATCACACAGGTCATTTCGATCTCGTTTTCTCCGGATATCGCCGTTTGAAGTTGGGCAAGCAAAACTGTCAATCAACCCCAAAATAGCTCAAAACATCTCTCACTCCACGAATTAATGCAGAAAATACACTCACCTAATTGCTCTCAAATTTTTATACAACAAACTAGACACCTCAAGCTTCAATTTGACATATCATACACTTAATTTGACTAAGAAACGAAGCGGGAATAAAATTTCCAAAAACTGCCAGAAACAGCCCCTGCACAGGTGCGTTCTGGGCAGTCTGAGTTCACAGGCTTCTACAGGGTTGCGTGAAACCCAGAAAATTCTCAGATATTAAAAACATGTAGGGGACATCTCAAGCTTTAAAATGGCGTATGGCACGTCCCTATCGGACCTCTATGGAGGGAGATATGCTCTCCCGAAGTTCACCTAAATTCTGTCAATTCTACAGAAATTTCGCCAGAGTTTCCTTTGTTTTTCCTAAAATCCCCAAATTTGCAAATGCTTCTAACACCTCAAATGTACCTAATAACCAATGGGTGGCACACACAAGGACCAACAACTCCTTGGGGCACTTACAACCCAACACAGTTTACAGTTATTACACAATACATATTATATGGCTCACTTTATAATTCCTTAACTTATTTTAATCACCAAAGTCCATTTACATGCAATTTCTCAACATAAGCATATAATCATATTCCTAAAATAGGCCTAAAGCCCTTCCATCATATTACATCAATATCCATGTATACTTACAACATCTCATACAAATATTACAACTTTAACTTACAAATTGAAACATAAGCTTAAATGACATAAACTACTAGACTTAAGCAAAACGACATGAACAAATATGACTATGAAACTCATCCTGCATACATATGAGATGTTCATGCCCTAAGTCTAGCCTAGGCCAAGTGGCCATCAAAATGAAAAAAAGGTGCTAATCGTCCAATGACTCAACCTACGGGCTTCTTGCCCGCCGCTCCGTTGCCACTGCTACCTCCTGAAATAAAGCCCCCATGACAGGGTGAGATATACGAATATATCTCAGTAACCCAAAGGTTTTGGAGAAAACTCCGCCCAATGGCTCACTTCGATGCATATAAATAATATAAAATAACCACTTTTCAAAACGGGATAAAGCAAGGGATTTAGAGAAACTGGAAAATATAGGAATACAAGATACGATGAAGCGGGAATGGTAGCTACCAATACCACGCAACATCCTCGGTATATAAGCCTATGGGTCTCATCCAAGGCGTGTTCGTATAACATCAACCAAGGTACCCCTCCCATCCGCATACACCCGAGACTTCCTAGTGTGCTCCTATCCGGATCACACTTCACGACCCTGGGTCAACTGGAACTCCCTCTCGGAGACCTATCCAGTGGAAGTATGAAACGCCCGAAGGCAAAACTGTCTACTGGCCAGAGACTCGGTACATAAGTACCCTCATAAATACTACATGCATGCTCATGTTGTTCTACACTACTCATATACATTTCCTACCATCACCCTCAACGGGTATGGTGGAACACACAAGGGGAACAAGCCCCAGTACCAAGAGGTTACCTTATTAAGCCTCTTCACTTAGCTCCACAGCAGTATGCTCTCTGAGCTCTTTACTCAACAGAATGCCTACACAGAGGACATTCCCAATTACTCAAAACTCATACGAACACATGCAAGTTAACAATTATACAAGCATTGTTCCAATCACTTACCTCAATCCCATTTGGTCCAGGACCAAGGGCAATCCACCGACTCACGGTTCGGGGTTCAATTCAACATACGACAACCTACAACAACCATGTACGAATCATCAGTACACGTCAATTCTATCAAAATATAAAAAACGCCAAAATTCACCCCTACACCTTGTAGGTTCGGCCTCTTAAGGCTTATTACAAAATTTATTTTTCTAAATTTTCTTTCTCATTTTATTATACATCCTTAGGTTGCCAAAAGGCCATACCAAGTGCCGTTTCTCACTTTACGTCTTTTAAACAACGTTTTGCCTAATATTTCGCTCTAGGATCCTTATGACTTTCAACACCATCAACCATTTTTCATTGATTCTCCAACCTTTAAACCACCGCACAACCCATCTAAGTACCATTTAGCACATCATACATCACTCAAATAATTTCCAACAACATCCATTCCTTAATTTCCCTTTAAAGGACGAATTTCACATAAGCTATTCCAAGGGATTTTCACCCAATTTTAACCATTCCACACCTCATACTGTAACATCCCGTGAAAGTTAGGAACTTATGTAAATTGTCTTTGGTATTGTGAATACATGCTTCGGATTCGTGTTACATACATTTAACTAGGGTAGAATGAAATTTTAATACTTCTAATTACATTATATGTAGAAACATTAGTTAATACCTAGTGAAAACATGAAATAATAATTGTTAGGAAAATATTTAAATTGCAATTGAGAGTGTGAAGTTATGTCATGAAATCGAACAACATGTAGGGTAGGATAGGTTTAATTTCCGAATTACATCACATAATAAATCCTATATAATACATAATAAATCACATAAAAATTATGATCCATTAGGAGTTAAATTTAGACCATCTTGCCTTAATGGGCTACGGCCCAAATACCTTTGAGGGAGGCTCCAATCAGCCAAAGTCCTCTTACAATTGATCTATGAATAATCCTTATCTCTTAACTGCTCTTAGAAGTAAGAATGCATGCTTTTCTATTGGTTGAATAAAACCTCATTCAATCATCCACACTACTTCATCTAGCGCGCTTATGAGAGAAGAACAAACTGAAACATTAGTCTTGGATTCAGAATGATAAGTAATCCATTATCCTCTCTTCCATCTATGCGCACGGCTAGGAACAAAAGAATCAGAAACCCAGCCAACCATTTCTCTCCCAAACCGTAAACTATCAAGAAGAACACCTCAAGTGTTGATTGCATGACCTTCCTTCTCATCCTCCCCATCAACCGTGAACCCCTAAGACCAGAACTTTCACCTCAACTCTCACTTTGTCCCCTTACTGTTCGGAACCGAAGGTACACCTCAAGGAGGTGAGACATTCTTTGGTGGTCTTCCTTGTTCGTCTTTGCCTTAGGCGATTTGAGGGAGACCTCTCTGCATGCAGCTCGAAATCCAAAGTCTCCTCATGGCCTTTTTGCTTCTCTTGTGCCCAGCCGAAGACCTTCATTCAAGGAGGTAAAACAATTCTACTCCTTGTTCAACGCAACCTAAATCAGTTCTGATTAAGTTTTGTTTCTTTCCACTGCATGCCCTTGACTTAGCCGCGATGGAATCTCTCCTTCCCTTGTATACAATTGGTTTCGGCCTCTTGGAGCATTGGATAGGTGAAGGGCAACTCCTCATTTGGTTATGATCTGTTGTATGCTGGTGAACAGGTAAATTGAGTTTCAGGTCTTCCATTCCTTTTTACTATACCCTGTTTCAGTTTACTTGAGTGTCCTAGGAAGCTAAATTTTGTTTTGCTATTTTTCCCTAATTATGTTCCGGCAGTAAACCCTTGCTATATGAATGTTTAGAACAGATTTTAGGAGCTTGGAAAATAACTCCTCTTGATTTTTTCTGGACTGCCATTGGACTAGGAAGATTTATTAGGCCTTGTATGTAGGAAAAACAACTAAGACAGCATGCTAAGATTAGTTTGTTCATGCCAAAGTAATGTAGTCGATACTTTAATAAAGACAAATCTTTAAGCACCTAAAATTCTAGCCAAAAACCCGAACCTGTCTTGTAGATTACCTTGGGATTTTGCGGGTACTTATTATTAATTGGCAGAATAAAATTTAGGGCAGAAAACTAATAGCTTTGGAAGCACGGGGAATCGATTAAGAAAATACAAACATAAGAAGTATGGTAAAACCCGAATTGGTATGCTTGGGAAATGTTGGATTTTTTCACTGTTTATGAGTGGATAAAAATTATTTGAAGTCAGAATTTTGTTAGGGAAAGAACCACGCAAACCGAATAGGAATAAAGGGTCTAGGGGAATGAAAACGTCTTATAATGTATAAGAAAATTTTGGGTTGTAATTCTGAGTTGTTACATTCTATTTAGGTGCGCAAAACCCTTAAGAACGTGGGCTAATTTTGGTGCTGTTTGCATTAATATTTGGACGCATGCAAGGTAAGTTTCTGGTGGCATTACCTAATGTGACTATTAGCTAGCGTATAGAATTGTGAATTGTTGCTCACACGTGCCTTGGATTAATGTGCTGTTATATGCTATATGTATGCTGCCTATGAATGTGACAAGATGGAAAATTCTGTATGAGAAGTAATTGTTATGTGGCAGCTTGGTACGGAAAGTACATGAAATATATGTTATTATGATGATGATCTAGTCATGCATATACACCTCATAATTCATTTATTTCTTGTTTGTGTGTGAAGCATATCATGGCATACATGCATGAATTTCATGCTGCTCATGGACTAGGATAGTTATATATATATGCATACGTTTGAGCACGCATCATATAGGCATCCCTTCGGTACCAGGGTATGGGACACTTGGCTTCCGCCCGCATAGGCCACAGTTGGAATTCACCTTTGAGGAGGAGCCATCATGGAATATCCACTGTGTATGTTAGTACGCGCACGACGGTGCTATGAGCGTAATGATGGCGTTATATACGCACTAACAAGGAAATGTCGTAATATACGCACTATTATGACTATTACGAATATACATGACCATGGCGTTATATGCGCAATAAGATGATGATTAACAGTTGTACGAAATTTTAAATGTTGATGCGACTGGTTTGGAATTCTGTGCCTAGTTTAATACTGTTGCATTATTGGTTTTGCTATCACACTACTGAGATTTTTCTCACCCCTTCGAGGGCTCAATTTTTATAAATTGCAGGAGTACTTAGAAGCATTTGAGGAAGTGTTTGATGACATGATCACATGAATAAATCTATTTGAGTTATGCTGTTGGCAACACTTGAAAAAAGGTTATGAAATATTATTTATTTTTATTTGAATCTGTACATAGGGGTCTCTATTTATAGAGACTTCTTGACCTAATTTTGACTTAATGGGCTTGGCCCAATATACAAGTAACAGAATGACTACATAATTACTATTTACAACACTCCCCCTCAAGCTGAGGAATAGATATTTATCATTCCCAGCTTGCTAGCAAGTTCTTGAAATCTATCTGAAGGAAGCCCATTTGTCAATAGATCAGCTAATTGACGCCCAGTGGGAATGTATGGAGTGGTAATCAACCCGCTATCAAGTTTCTCTTTGATGAAATGGCGGTCGACCTCAATATGTTTAGTCCGATCATGTTGAACTGGATTATGAGCTATACAAATAGCGGACTTATTATCACATAGCAGCTTCATAGGTCCCTCATATTTTATTTTTAGATCATCAAGTACAATTTTCAGCCACAGTAACTCACAAATGCCTTGGGTCATAGCTCGAAATTCAGCTTCTGCACTTGATCTGGCGACCACATCTTGTTTCTTACTTCTCCATGTCACCAAGTTACCACAAAGAAACATGCAATAACCAGTGGTAGAACGACGGTCAGTCACGGATCCAGCATAATCAGCATCTGTGTAGACTTCTAAAGATAGATTGCCATCACGTCGGAATAACAACCCTTTACCAGGAGTACCTTTCAGATACTGAAGAATTCTCTCTACTGCCTGCATATGTTTCTCCTTTGGATCGTGCATAAACTGACTGACAACACTAACAGCATAAGCTAAGTCTGGTCTAGTATGGGCCAAATATATCAATTTCCCAACTAGCCGTTGATATTGTCCTTTATCAACTGGAGGACTCTCCTCTTCATAGCACATCTTGTGATTCTGCTCAATAGGAGTATTAGAGGGTTTACACCCGAGCTTTCCTGCTTCTTTGAGAAGATCAAGAACATATTTCCTCTGGCTGATAAAGATTCTTTTGCTCGAATGAGCTACTTCTATCCCTAGGAAATATCTCAGTTTCCCAAGGTCTTTGACTTCAAACTCAGAGGCAAGCCGTGTTTGCAGAATCTGTCTCTCCACAAAATCATCATCTGTGATAATAATATCATCAACATATACAAGGATCACAGTAAGCTTCCCATTTTGGGAGTGCTTGAAAAAAAGAGTGTGATCTCCTTGACTTTGTTTATATCCTAAGGTCATCATAACCTTAGTAAACTTTCCAAACCAGGCACGAGGTGACTGCTTCAATCCATACAAGGCATTTTTTAATTTACAAACTTTATTTTCTCCCTTCACAGAATCAAAACCAGGCGGAATTTCCATGTAGACTTCTTCTTCTAACTCACCATTGAGGAAAGCATTCTTCACATCAAATTGGTTTATATCCCAATTGTAATGGGCAGCAAGGGATAACAAAACTCTCACCGTATTCATCTTTGCAACTGGAGAAAATGTTTCTTCATAATCAATGCCATAGGTTTGAGAGTAACCTTTGGCAACTAATCGAGCTTTGTATCTCTCAAGAGTTCCATCAGAATTATATTTCAGGGCATAAACCCATCTGCACTCTACTGCTTTCTTTCCAGTAGGTCTATCAATAACCTCCCATGTTTTATTTTTCTCCAATGCATTCATCTCCTTTTGCATGGCTTGAGCCCAATTCCCATCTTTCAAGGCTTCATGTACTGATTTTGGGATTGCAATAGAGTCTAGTGCTGAAACAAAGCTTTTGTGCTGCACAGACAGATTAGCAGAGGAAACAAAATGGGAGATAGGGTATTGAGTACAAGAGGAACAAGATTTCTTGGGACATGATCTTTTTCCTTTTCTAAGAGCAATGGGTAAATCATCAGAATCAGTAGTAATGGGTAAGTCATCAGAAGTATCATGATCAGAAATATGAGATCCAGGACTTACCAGTGGTTCAGACGATTGAGGTTGCTGCTGAGGCAATGTAGGTTGTGTATCAGTCATAGGAGGATCAGTCACAGGAGGATCAGACATAGACACATTGAGAACAGGAACAAGAGGAAGACACACTGACTCAGGTGAAGGAGTAGACACTGAAGATTCAAATTCAAAGAAGGAAGGTGATGAGTCTTCTAGTGAATTATTCTCCCCCTGAAGATGAGGACCTTGGAAAAAGGACTCAGATTCCTGAAATGTAACATCCATAGAAACAAAAAATTTCCGACTACCAGGGTGATAACACTTGTAGCCCTTCTTATCAGGAGCATATCCAAGGAAGACACATTTAAGAGCCCTAGGATCCAACTTACTGCGATGCTGTTTATGAATATGAACAAAGACAACACACCCAAACACTCGAGGAGGAAGACTTTGCAAAGTTGGAACAGAAGGAAAAAAAGAAGTCATGGAGTGAATAGGACTTACATGATCGAGAACCCGAGTGGGTAGACGGTTGATCAAGAACGCTGCAGTAAGAATGGCATCTCCCCAATAGCATTTGGGTACATGTGTTTGAAACAGTAAGACACGAGCAACTTCAAGAAGGTGACGATTTTTTCTTTCAGCAACCCCATTTTGTTGAGGGGTGTCTACACAAGTAAGTTCATGAATCATACCTTGATTTCGTATAAATTGGGAAAAACTGTGATTAACATATTCAGTACCATTATCTGTTCTTAGTCTCTTGATTTTTCTACCAAATTGGGTCTCAACCATTTTATAAAATTGAAAGAACAGATGTGGTACCTCAGACTTTTCATGCATTAAGTAAACCCAAGTTACACGAGTGCAATCATCAATAAAAGAAACAAACCATCTATTTCCAGAAGCATGAGAGACTTTAGAAGGACCCCAAACATCAGAATGAATAAGATCAAAAGGTTCAACACTCTTAGTACTACTAGAAGGAAAAGACACACGATGATGCTTAGAAAACTCACAAACATCACAATGAAAAGACTCAACAGGCTTAGTTAAAAACAATGACGGAAATAAAGACTTGAGTAAACCAAATGGAGGATGTCCCAAGCGCTTATGATGAAGCCAAATCAAAGAATCAGCAGTTGATTGACCATGAGACATCAAGATGTGATCTGTTACTTTATTTGCGGGAGATTGTGACACCAGATAGTACAGCCCACCTTGCTCTTTAGCACTATCAATCGTCTTCCCCGTGGCGAGATCCTGAAAAACACAATGGGTAGGGAAGAAGGTTACAGTACAATTCAGATCTTTTGTAATTTTATGAATAGAAAGAAGATTCGTGGAGAGATTAGGAACATGAAGAGCATCTTTAAGATGTAAGGACTGCTGTAAGTTTATGTCACCAGAACCCGCAACTGATGTATGTGAGCCATCAGCTATGGCTATAGTATGAGTTCCAATGGTAGGATGATAAGAAGCAAAGGAGTCAGCACAACAAGCCATATGATCAGTAGCACCAGAATCAACAACCCAGGAATGTTTAAAATCATTACATGAAGAAAGGAAACAATGAGTTTTAGGGCTCATACCAGTCAAAGCCAAAGCACTAGTATCAGATGGCTTACTCAGATAATCAAGGATGGTTCGGAGCCGTTCTAACTCATCTAGACGAAATGCAGGTTGGGTCTCATTAGGTGCAGGAGTTATTCCAAAGGAAGTAAAATGCGCTTGACCACGCATCCTTGCCATCTTTTCTAAGACAGTTTGCTTTCCATGGAGGCGAAAGCATAAATCCTTGATATGACCTGTTCTTTTACAATAAGAACACCATCGATCATCTCTCTTAGGTTTAGAAGATGCACCATCATAAAACTTTGTAAAGGAACTCCTTTGAGAAGAGGCCATACTGCACAAAAAACAGTCAACGAAAAAAAGGCTCTAAGAAGCCAAAAAATTCGGAAGAAATACCAAACGATGTTCGATCTGAGAAAACAACACAAATCCAGAAAGAGAACAAGGAGACGAGAAGAATGGTGGTGGTCCGGTCAGCGCGCACCTGTCTGTGGGTGGTTGCGGTTGAAAATTCACCGGAAAGGGTTCTAAACGGTGAAGACAGAACTGGTTGTAGGCAGTCGGAGGTGTTTGGGTTGTTTGTGGCGGAGGAACGTTGCGTAGAATGATAGAACGAAAAAAAAGAAGGTCAACAGTGGTCCCCTTAGTCCAAAAGGTCCCCGGAAAAATTTTTCCGGTGGCGGCAAGAGGCAAAGAAATTAGGGTTTTGTAAAAAAAAGACAATAGGCGCGGAAGCAGAGCCCTCAGGATCGAGAGCTCTGATACCAACTTGAAAAAGGGTTATGAAATATTATTTATTTTTATTTGAATCTGTACATAGGGGTCTCTATTTATAGAGACTTCTTGACCTAATTTTGACTTAATGGGCTTGGCCCAATATATAAGTAACGGACTAAATAAATACAAATAAATGACTACATAATTACCATAATTACTAATAAATGACTACATAATTACTATTTACAACAGCAACCCTGTTGTTTGCTCACTGTTTTTGCTGATTGTATTCTGATTATTTGACCTTGTTGTATTTTCTTAAAGAATGGCATGCCATGATGTATATTCTGTTTTGAAAAGAAGTGTAGCATGATGTTTATAATTCTGGTAATTAGTTTGCGAAAAGAATTGTTGTTGTACTTAAATTCGGATTTTTGAACTGTTTTTGCGAGCACTTTGTGAGTTGACGTTCTGGGGCTACAGACCTCCGAATGAGGTATAATTCATATGTACGTAAAGCCCCAGTTGTGTACTTTCAGATTATATAAACTTTACAATAAAATTCTGAAATTCCAATTTATTATGATTTTTGTAAGTCAGGAGGTTTCTGGAAAAATACAATGAATTTTCAAGTACCTTGCGAGTTCTATTTCGTGGGGCTATTCACCTCCGATTCGCTTATAATTTATATGTACGCGAAGCCCCAGATGTCTAGTTTCTATGTATCAAAGAATATTTTCTTAATCTGTTGATTTCTAATTTACATTATTTTTTCAAGACAGGCTATTTCCAAGAAAAATCAGAGTTGTGCAGCGAAA